ACTGTATATCTCTTCTTGATGCTCACATAAAGGTACGCACTTTTTATATCGACCTGGTGTATCTCCCAGTCCTTTTGGGCAGCCATCGTCAAAATGGTGCGTATGGTGCTCATGTTCACAGTTGGGGTGAATGTATCAAAATAGTCGACACCGTACTGCTGTCGTTGGCCATTTGCGACTAGGCGGGCCCATAGCTTTAACTTCTCGCCGTCAGGTCCTCGTTTGGTCGCCAAAACGAAATGGCAGGGGATTAGGTTCACACCCCGAGGTGCGTCTACTATCTCCCATGTCCCCAACTTCTCCAGCTGACTTATCTCATAGTCTACCGCTTCCTGCCACTCTACGCCATCCGGTCCATTCAGCGCCTGCTGTAAGGTAGGCTCAGGCTCTGCAACTGCTAAAGCTAGCTGAAGGTGAGCCTCCTCATCTAGGAGATCCAGTTCTGATGCCTCCAGCAGGGTTTCTATTGCCACTGAGGCGGTTTCTCCCTTGGAGATCTCGCCTCTCTGGAGCTTGGCATAGTATCCGTCGGGGTACTTTATGCGCATCGGTCTAGGAGCCGGTGGGGTTACTGGTCGTGGTGGAGATGCTCTGGGTGGAGTAGAGGGTGGAGAAGGGGATGCTTTGGTTGAGGTGGCCTGAACAATAGGTACGTTGTTGCTGTTGCTGCTGTCGTTTTCATTGACGGCGTTGGACTCCCCCTCGTTAAAGACATCCTCAGCCACCATCACCTCGCTCGGTGCAAAGGTGATGTTTCGTTCTACCGAGACTCGGCGTTTATCAGGCCAATAGACCCGGTATCCCTTACTCTCAGTGTCGACCCCCACGAAGACAGCTTCCTCGGCCTTGGACTCCAGCTTCCCCGCATCCAGGATATGGACGTAGACCCTCACTCCAAATTCATGCGCCTGGAGGAGGCTGGGTTTTGCCTTCTGGACAAGCTCATATGGCCTAGTTCCGGGGGTAGCCCTAGACGGTAAGCGGTGAGGGCGAGAAATGATAGCTGCGTGCTAGGGGGAAGAGTGGGAAGTGGGCTCTCAAGTGCTCCTCTGGATACGAGTGGAAAGTTCGTCCCAAGGGGATTGCTACTGAGAAAGATTCCTCTAGTGAAAGGTGAGGGGGATCTATAACCAGTGGTTCGGTCTCGAAGCCTGAATGGGACTCTGAGGCAAATAATGCACCCAAAAGCGAAGTGCGCTAGCTAAAGGCGCCTAAACGCGCTAATAAGGCGGAAAGTGCGGAAAAGCGTGCTTCAATGTCAAAGCGCACTTCGTGCGATCACAATGGAGTGCTTCGAGTAGAGATGACAATCAAAATGGGGGAATCAGGACTTTGATAGATGTAGAAATAGACACTTAAAGGTGTCAAAGCGCCAATAGGAAGGAAAACTGGTGTATTCAGATAGAAACTCGAGCTATACACTTCGATGGTAGTGGAGCGGAAGTAAGTGACAGGAAAACAAACATGGTGACATGTAGGTATGCTAAGCGAGTTCCCATGGCTCGGAGCCGAATAGGAAGTACTAAGGTAAATGGTGAGGTAAGTCAGGGTCCATAACGAGATATGATGATAAGTACTAGTGTCCTGCGTGACAGAGTATGAGTTCTGAAGAAGGGAAAACGCACCAATGGACCTTGGAGGACTAGGACGGGACATGCGGAGGACAGGCGACAGATACTAAGGAAATGTGACGAAGTGCACCGTAACGCGCTCGAACGCACTCGAACGCGCTGGTACGCGCCAAAGCGCGCGTTGCAAGGATATTGAGTGCATCGTGAAAGGCCGTGAATTTGGCCCATATGAGCCTGGAGAAATGTGAATCTCTACAGCGGTTCTTTAGCCAGGTTGCGTAGTTCACAGCTTCTGCCCACAGATATTTAGGCAAGTCTTTTGCCAGGAGCATCGCTCTGGCATGCTCCACCAGGGTTCAATTAAGGTGTTCCGCCACGCCGTTTTGTTGAGGTGAGTCGTGGACGGTCAGTTGACGCAAGTACTGGTCGAATTCGGCACTTAGGTATTCCCCTCCTCAATCCAACCGGACCTTAAGAAGGCGCACTCCAGGCGACTGTCTTCCAAGCCAAGCCTCATAGGCCTTGAAGGCGGTGAGTGCCTCGCTCTTGAGCTTTAGGAAGTGTAGCTTCGTTTGACGGCTATAGTCTTCCGTAAAACTGATATAATAGAGCGCTCCGGCGATGCTGGTCATCTGGGCTGGGCCCCATAGGTCTGTATGGACCAATTCCCCATAGGTAAGTGCACGGCTGGTGCATTCCTCAGGGAACGGCTTCCTGGCTGACTTTGCTTTAATGCAGATGTCGCAGAATTCGGGCTTGGACGTGGTGTCGACCTCAACACCTGTTATAAGGCCCTTTTTAACTGCGTCTAGGACTGCAGTCTGGGAGACGTGGCCGAGCGTGCGGTGGACCTCATTAACGGTGAGTTTGGTCTTGGCCAGATGGGCATGATGCTCCTGACACTTTCCGGCGACACTATACAGGCCCTCGACCTGAGGGATCTCAGCGATGACACGCCTTTTCCGGCCCTTGCGAGAGGATCTGGCACATTCGACCTTCGAAGAGGACAGCGAGGCCCACTGAGGTGATTCTCGTGGTGGATATCAGCGTGAACGCCATTTTCGGTGCGTAGAGTGCGTTTTTGAGGGTAACATTGGTGCAGCTTATCACCCAGGGGCAGCTCTATTTCTACATCACCTCGTCCTACTGCATTAAGTGTCGAACCGTCGGCCGTATGGATCTTCTGGGGAGGAATGGTGACAAAGTTCGAGAATTTGGACCGGTCGGGGCAAAAATGGGACATTGCTCCCGAGTCCATGATGGCTCCTCGCTTCTCAACATGTATGTTTAGATCCTTCGCCACGCTTGCCAAGTCTGACGTGACGAAAGCAAACTGGTCCTGGGGCTCAGATGTCTTGGCTGCCGAATTGGCGGCCTGCTTTTGACCCTTATCCCCCCTCTTCCTCTGCTGGTTTGGCCCTTGGCCCTCCTTTCCTCCCCCTGGACGCCAGCAATTGGTTTTATAGTGGCCCTTGCATTCACAATTGAAGCAGGTGATGTCCAGGTTTGCTTTACTGGAGGAGGAAGACGCTGATGCTCGCCCTTTTCCCTTGGCTTCTCTAGCAGAGAGAGCACTGCCGCCCTTTTTACCAGGTCGGCGTTCAGTGAGGATATGATGCTCATACTCTTCCGTTATGATGCTAATGAGCTCATTGGAGGTGAGTGGGGTCTTCGTTATCTTTGCGGTTGCACTGATAGAAGATAGGAGGGGGCAATATGATTCGGGGAGTGAGCCTAGGATGATGGCATGGAAATCTGTATTGACGATGTCGACACCCATACCCGTGAGTGACTCTCGCAATCTCAGCAGCTCGGCAAAGTGGCCTTTTACATCTCCTCCCTCGTCGCACCTCGTCTCCTGCATACGCCTGCGCATGTCAATTTGCACAAGCTCGGTCTTGCCTTCATGGATCTGACATATCTCTTTCCAGATTTCCGAAGCGTCCTTCAGGTTTTGAACGCGCAGCAATAATCTATCAGTTATGGTGCTGAAGACTTGTTGCTTTACCAGTGAGTCTTTCTGGTAATATTCGTCAATCTTCTTATCAAGCTCGTCGATCTCGGCCTGCGTAGGCACTGTCCCATCAGCCTTCGTTAGAGCCTTTGTCGACGCATCTACGGCGAACGGCAATGGCTTGGTAGCTCGACCCTCGGTATATCGCATCAGACCTCTAGCCCCTAACGCCATTAACGTCCTTTCCTTATAGGTTATCCAATTCGAGCCATCTTCGGCAAGTTTGGGGACGGAAAACAGGCTTGAGTTGGTGCTGGGGAGTGTAGTATCCATGATCGAGCCAGGGCTCATAACCTCTAGTGAGTAGACGAAGTAGGGATGCGCTTAACGCTATAAGACAAGTACAATCTCAGTCACTTGGAAGGAACTCTGTTAACAACACATCTACCTATAAGACAAGTACACTACGTAGGATTAGCTTTGATATGTATAGGTGATGGATCTGACTCACATCTCAGTCACTTGGAAGGAACTGAGATGCTCGTGCGCTACCACTGGCGCTTTTATACTAAGTGAGTCTTTTGCTGACATATATAAAAGAGAAACATAAGAAATTGCAGGACACGAGCTGATGTCACTCTGTCGCTCGTCCTGTCACATTTTGGCGTGCGCTCGTACCTCTCATTCTCCCCCTGCTCCTATCTCGGATCCTTCGGCCTTCTTCGACTCGGATCTCTCAGATTCCAACACAGTTGTCAGAGGGTAGTGCACGGGACTCAGTCTGTGGTTTCCGGTCATTGGTAAGTTTTGGGAGTTAGCTTTTGGTCTCTTTGTGCAATGTAGAAGGTGGGCTGACACTCGCCTTCGCAGGGTCCTCTGAGGTGTTGTTGCCAGGATGGGGATAGGGATAAAGAGCAACTGGGTTGTCTGAATATGTGTTGGACATAGTTCGAGGTGGTCAGTGACGGGTGTTAAGTAATAAGGATTGCGAAGCACGAGCAGAGAGTGCCTGCTTATAGCATTATAGATCTCGGGCCCCTGAGTGCAAAAAAAGGAAATTACGACATAGTGACGTAGGTAAAACTTTAAATCCACGACTGACCTGACTGTTGACAAAATGAAACAGGCATCTTACTTCACAGTGCAGGCAGCAAGGCCCGTAAGATCTTGTGTCGAGTGCTTGACAAGATAGGGGACCGGGGCGAAGAGGCTGTAAGCTGATTGTCGAAGAGCAAGCGCCAGAATATGGCGAATAGACCTACATATGACGAATTTGAAGAAGTCAATGACACGGGCTCGAGCTCTAGTAGAATTCGAAGTGTATACTTTATACCATGGGTTCCATCAAAAAACACCAGGAGTATTACCATTCTTTAGAATGGGATGCGCGGCAATGCCGAACCACATGCTACCAAATAGAACACATGCCCAGGTAACCTGATTCTTAACAGCATTCAAGAGTGCGCTGATTGTGACAGCTAGCGGAAGATAAGTAAAAACATGTCAGTCTTGCCAAACAAAATGAGACCTGTGCAGCAAGGAAATAAAGGGAAAACACCAAGCAAGGCGGAGTGAAAGACAAGTGGGAAAATGGGATGTCGAGACTCGAGAGTGCCTCTCAGCTGATCGTCGACGTTTGTGTGAACAAGCTCAGCATGCAATTAGCGCACAAACAGGCATCGAACAATCAGTGGAACACAGTACGACGACTCAACTTGCCAATAGATTTCAGAAGGGGATGAAGGTCAAAGACGCCCTGGAAAATGAGTATAGTAACCCTGGTATACTCGAATGAATAGAAGTAGATACGGAGTAAACGATTAGAACCTATACTTGCTTGTGCGAGTGCGATTACGATGAACATACTGAAGCCAACTACGATCCACTACATGGACCATGGCTTCAGATCAATGAACGGCCGTCGACCATCTCTGAGCGGAGCGCAGGCATATTGGTCAAGTAACACCTCCAAGTTGTCAGAGCCTGTCAGGGACGCGGGTCAGAGGAGAGCCAACGGTGCGTCTCTGTTTGTGCTTCACCGAGAGGTCTTATCTGTGCTAAGTATTCAAAAACGGCATACGACACACGTTTTACTTGTATTAAGAGCAAAAATGCTGTCCTACATAGAGTCCCACTCTACAAAGGACATAAATTGGAATTTTTTTTTAGAAAAAAGAGCAAAAATGACCGAGTTAACCTCAGATTCAATCAACTCCTTGAGCTATCGCCGCTACAGCACATCCAGCATATAGGGCTCCATTCATAAGGTGCCGTCGCTGTCGGGCAGTTCAAAGGTGGTTGAGAGGAGCACGCGCCTGGGCAGGACATGCTTTCGGCACGAGCTGCTGCCTTCACCACAATGGCGCCGGCAGCGGCACTAGCAGCGGCAAGGACTGTGAGGTAAACAATTTGAACGAGCTTCATGATATCTGGTATAACTATGCATCAGCCTGTGATACGACCATGCTAGGAAAACCACGCACCCACGGAAAGTTTGATCGTGCAATGTGCGCGAAGTCGCTATGACAAAGTCTTAGAAAAACTATTATATATTGGTTCGATGAAATGCACGTAGTGTGACACAAGAGGGCTACTCACTGCAACAGGAGGCGTTCGTCTCTGGGGCCTTTTCAACTCAACCGTGTTGACTTTATACTTGTTCTCGTCAGCGCTGAGAGCACTTACTCAGAGACAACGAGAAGACATGCAGCTCTGTTAATGAGATCCATCTACTTGGAAATCGCCACGCAAACCTGAGGCGCGCCAAGTTGGTGGTAATCAAATCAAACCCATGTTAAATCAAGCCAGCGGATTGCAAGGAAGGACAATCAGCAAATGAGTATTTGCCCAAGATCAAATTGAAATATTGGCCACTGCTGCGTTCTTGGAGCCTCAACGTGGTCATTTCTGAGCTGGAGCGCAGGGATGCTGATCAAGCAACACCTTCAAGTTGTCAGAGCTTGTCAACCAGGTGAGTCAGAAGAGAAATGAAATGGGCGTAGCTGCAGCGTGATGCACATGTGAGTGTGACGTGTCATTACATAACGCAGCACTGACGCCTTGAAAGTTGACACGAATGCCCTCGAATGCCCATAGCAATATTTGCCATGTCAATTTCATTTGGCCCCAAAAACATAGGCTTATCTGCATTGTGACCCAGGCTCATTTTACGATGCGCACATCCCACTGGCCATAAGAAATATAGATGACGAGCTTCGTTGACCGCGGTAATCTGCCCATAAGTATAGCTAATGGGCCGATGGATCCGAACATTCTCTACAATTAGCATGATCCTCTTGCTAATCTCGCAATTTATCTATAATCGCTTACAACCTCACCTATATACTGCCCCACCCACTCACGGACATATGCCGGTTGATCGGTGCTTTCCAGATACATTATCGTCAAAATGATTCGATAACCGGGAAGCTCCCGGGCCAACTCATCTGGCTTGTCTCCTTACAATATTTACCCCCTTCGACACAAGTCTACGAGTCTTTCATGCGTGAGTTCCCATCCCAACACTACACTTCTGCTGTGTCATCCTAATTATTACTTGCCTGAAGAGCCTATGCGAGGGCCAACCCTAGACTCCTCAAGTATCGTTGAGGAACTAACTCATCACCTGCACCTTCGGCTTGTTGTATTCTACATTCATCCGTCTATATGCTTTGCTCAGTCCTATCATACAGATTATCGTGTTAACCAACGCCTTGGCCCCTTCAATTGTAATTGTTGGAAAGAAACTCCCCCACTTCATTTTATCCGCTGTGTTTGAATCATCAGCTGCCATCGGACATGTGAAACACACCCGACTCCGATGACATTGAACAACGATATCAATACCATGACTGTACAAGCACTTCGTCACGCGTCAGATGTCATCTCAGAACAATCTCGTTGAGTCACGTCTTCGACCTCTACTGTCACCAGTTTTACTCCTCGCACTAGCGCATTACGAGCAATGCCTTCCCAGCTACTGCGCTTAGTGATGCAGTTGTGTTCATGTCATAAGTCAGCATAATGACATGACACATGAGTGCCTAGAGAAAGTGTGCAGCGTCAGAGAGCCCATGTACTGATACTCATAGCTACAGTATCTCTGGTGTTCTGACATCCATCAATGATGTCATGAACAGAAGCCATGTCCCTGGTTTGTACACTACTATCTTTCTGGAAAACGGTATACGACGCACATTTTGTTTTTATCGAGACAGTCAATTTGAGAGCAAAAATGACCGAGAGGTTCAACTAATCGGGCTGCAACATTGCCAGCACGTCCGGGTCCCACGGTAAGGCACCGTCCCTGTCGGGTGGTCCGAAAGTGGTTCAGAGGTGTACCACTACCGAGGAGGATGTAAGTGCACTACATTGTGCAAGTTCGAAGTGAGAGATAGGATTGAAGTGAGTTTCGAGATGGGGAAATATGTACACAACTACTCTGCTACTGACAGTATGAACCGAACGGGTGTTTATATGTTAGTACCAAGGGGGTGGCGTTCCAGGGTAGCAATGTAATATGGGTTATGGTCAGATGTAAAGAAAAGGGGTTTCCGTCGCCAGGGGAATACAATTCCCTACAAGGTCGTGGTTTCTTGGGGAGTAACGTCTACCGACACCCCAGAGCCACTGGCGGCGACACTGGAAGCGGCAAGGATTGTGAGGTAAATGATTTGAACAAGCTTCATGGTATCTGGTATAACTATGCTTCAGCCTATGATGTGACCGTGCTAGGAAAACCACACGGACGAAAAGTTTAATTGTGCAATGTGCGCGAAGTTGCTGTCACAAAGTCTCACAGGAGCTATTATATGTCGGTTCAATGAAATGCGAATAGTGTGGCGTACGAGTGTCACTCACTGCAACAGGGGGCGTTCGTCTCTGAGGCCTTTTCAACTCAACCGCGTTGATTTTATACATGTTCTTGTTAGCGCTGAAACTATGTTGGGAGGATGTTTTATATCGAGCATGCAGCTCTGATAATGATGATGAAATACATCACCTTGGAAATCCGCGAGCAAGGCGCACGAAGTTGGTGATAGTCAAATTGAGCCCGCGGGTCGTAGTGATCGCAGGGAAGGATAATCGCTGTGGCAAATTACCGAGTATTTGCATGATCCAACATTGACAACTGCTGCTGAGCGTTCTTGGTGCATGGCCATTTCTGAGGGGAGCGCAGGGATAGTGGTTAAGAAACAACTTCAAGTTGTCAAAGCTCGTCAGCCACGTGGGTCAGAAGAAAAATGAAAATTGGACGTAGCTATTTTAATTTCTGAGGTAGGGTGCAAGTGCCGCGTCACTTAGTAGGGATGCTCGCGTCGCCCATGCCTACCGCCCACACCTAAGACCCCTTCGCACAAAACATAATCTACCTAAAACGTAGCTTGCACACTACTTAATATATAATGAGCATACGAAAAATAGATACTAGATATTTTACCCTTTGTCGTCGTCATCATTGTTGTATTTCGTGATGCTGAAGAACGCTGGGGTCGCGATTCCCGAGATTGAATGGACAGCTGGCGTAATCTGGGAGATCGTCCTTGTAGCGGGTTTACTGGATGGCGAGGAGCCTCGGAGGACGCTGTACAAATAAGGGATGTGGGCAAGCGCCTCAACACGATGGCTGGGTTCGCAATTTGGCATGGACATCGGACGGAAAGAAGCTTATCTCCGGTTCATTCAGCTCGATTATCCTAATCGACACTGCCACTTGGCAGATCGCCATTGGAAGTCACATCCACCCCGCCATCTCAGACTATCTCAGAACAACCGCTGCTTTGCGCGTGCATCACGTGACAAAACAGCAAATCTCGACACAAACCTCCCAGTCGTACAACAGTCGGACCACCCCTCGGCTTCCAGCACGAAAATCATTTGCCCTCCTTTCTACTGATGCAAAGGTGCTAGCAACTGGTCGCGCAAACGAAAACGCGTACGCATGGGATGTTCAGCCTGTATCAATCCTGAAATGTTGACGGCATCGAGTCCGAACATAAGTCGTGCGGAATGGAGAGCGCGGGACGTTTTCGAATATTTGTTAGAGGCGTCAATGTAGTCCTGACATATGGGAAAATACACGTAGGGCCGGTCGCAGGCCTGAGCGCTCCATCTACACAGTAATCATTTCTGCACAGTAATGAAGCCGTGTGAACGAACGACCGCCCGACTTCCTTAACTCCCAACCAAACACTCATTGATCGCTGGTGATCGTGTGCGGGTTCGTCTGAACAGTGCTTCCCATGAGTAATACTCTTGTGCTGGTTAAAACTGACGATTCTCTTACCAGCGACATCGGATACCCACAAAGATCTCTTGCGCGGGCTCGAATTGATCCCGGCAGACTTCTTTCATGTATAATCTACAAGCAGCCGTAGTTAAACTTTGAACCTCCGAGCGCACACCATGTCTTCATCCACCAGTATGACGCCAGTGATGACGCCACGCCAGACAATACGAGGTCATACCGGCGGGGTATACATTGTTGTGCACTTGCCTGGCGGACAACACATCATCACAGGCTCATTGAACGGCTCACTCCGACTATGGGACCTGGAGAGTGGCACACAGACAGGCGAGGACTGGCGGGAAGGGGGAAACAATATGTGGTCCGTGGCATTGTCTCCAAACGGTAAGACAATTGCAAGCGGAGGCAGCGATTGCGCTGCGAAGTTTTGGGACGTCGAGACGATCGCAGGAATGTCATTTCGAAATGTGCAGGACACACCCATGTTGTGTGGGCATTGTACTGGAGTGCCCAATACCATACACATACGGCATGGGTGTGTCTCACCGCCTCACTGTAGATGGTGAGCGAGTGGTGAGTGGATCCTGGAATGGGATGGCAAGAGTCTTGGATGTCAAGATGGGTGGAGACGATGTAAAAATCTGGGATGCACATAAACACTTGGCATGAACTTCGGACAGGAATTCCGAAGCTTATCTCCGGTTCATTAGTCCCGATTAGGATATTTGACACGGCAGCAGCCTCCTAAAACGGACTTGAGTTCCGCTGATGGAAAGGTGCTAAGTAGTACTACTTGCAGGAACGAAAACGCGTATACATGGGGCGTTCACGCCATCCTCAAAGAAACTGGCCTTGAAGACCTACTTTTCACTGGTACCAATCTTGTCAGTGTCAACATATCACCCGCTTTCTCTCGCTGATGCATGTCTGCTGTTAACCGAAAGATAGACTTGAACTGCAGGCATCTCAAGATGATTCAGAATTACAGCACATACCCCGCTCTTCGCTCGATAACAAGTCATTTTTGGAAGTACGTGCCGTGTTTCCAATCCTTCTAATTCATTATAGTAGTAACATTCTAGACTGATGCTACGCAATGTCCTGACCAGTTTGGCGGTCCTGATGAACTCTCACCGACGTTTTTTGACGATGTTGATGTGCGTAATCAGTATTTCTATTACTTAGTTCTTATCTAGGCTCTTAGTCCTCTCCAATTAATGGGTGGTGCACACCCTCATTAAATGCACTGCTCACTCGCTCCTCCACCGCTTTCGACCCAAAAATGGTGAAACACCCGAACCTCCGCAACGCTCAAGGCTTTCGGTGTTCCATCTTCACGCACTTCTCGCTCACCTGTCGTTATCCATTCACCGCTCTCCACCGGAAAATGATGCACCAGACGAACTTCAGCAAACCTCCACTCCTTCGCGGTTAGATCCACATGTGCTCCTAGCTCACCTTTCCTCACTTTTGTCCCGATCTCGACCCAACACTGACGAAGAAGGCGAGCCCCATCCCACAATGCCTTCGAGTTCACGTCCAGACGCCTTCATCAGCTGGCTGTCCTCACTCTTCCGCTCTCACCCCCACACCAACGAAGAAATCCAACTCACGCAACGCTCAAGCTATCCTCCTATAGTCGAAGTGGCTGCAGTGCGTGATAAGCAGGTATGTCGCTCCCTACTGCGTTTACAATCGCCGTGTTTTAATGATTTCTGTTCAGACTTTGGTTGTTGCTCGGGGGCCACAATTCGAGAAGGCAAAACGAGCATATGAGCAACAAACCCAATCGCACCGCCAAGCCCAGGCGTCATCATCGCACAATCAACCTGCCGATGCCTCAACATCCACGACACCTTCTGCTCCAGGTACAGCGGCCGCACAATCACCACCCATCCCGTGGTCGGCTCAGATCGTGTCGTTTGTCTGCTGTGCATCTCCACCACACGCTAATGGTCACCAATACAGCTAGCATGGCGGCATTTGGACAACTAACTCACCTTTGCTTTTAGTTATTTTACGCTTCCATGTTTTCGCTGTGTCTTTCAGTCACCAGTCCCTGGGTATATGGTGCGTTAAGTCTGCTCATTAGTCTTACAATAATTTTGCTCGTTAGCATGTACTGTGATGCATAGCAATGTGCTAACAAGCAGACCTGCTGCCTCGCTTGGCTAGAGCAGTACATCCCGATCTTCAATCGCCAATGTATCTCAGGCCCAAGTTGATCATGTTGAACTTCCTCTACCTTGCCAAACAAAGCGCCTGCGCACGAACCTGCATTATGTAATACAACCGCGCTCATTGTTGGTGACGATGAGCTCAACATATCCCACTTCTTACTTCTTGATATCATTTTTGCGACAATCTATACTATGATTTTTACGTTCGTTGTATCCCCATCCTCAAAAATGAAGCAATAACATGTTCGTGTTCATATGTAAAGAACTGCCGCGACTACAGGAAACCTCCCTTGATTGTACTCGCTCCGTTGCAACCACGGAGCATGTCGACAATCGTGAGCGCTCTGGATGTGCAAGATTAGAGATGTCGGGTGTATTTTAGAGAGCGAAAGGTATGATCTGGTGGGTGGGACATCAGATCCGCCACATCCATTCCATTCCCATCTGAAGCTCCAATGGCTGAGACAATATTCGAGGGCGCACAAATTGTGGGCTACTATGTTCTGCGCTGCCTTTTTGAATGGTGTCGATACCCATTGTTGCCGTTCCCTCGAAATATATACAGCCAGTCGTTCCAGGGACCAGCAGTCTTGTTTGTGTTCGTGTGCATTGGGTGAACGGGAGGTACGGAAGGGTTGCAGGATATGCAGAAGGTAACAGAACGGTACAGGAGTCCGGACGGTCGAATGTATGGCAACTACTGAGGGTAGCGCCAGCGATCCTGAAGGCATTGGAGCTGGCGGCGGAATGGAAGGCGGCGGTACGTGTCAGGAACACGGAATCACCAGGTACGATCACCGAAGCGCCACAATGCATTAGATTCCATATATAGTAATGCTAATCATCAACTTAGCAACCTTGCAGTTGTTGCATTAGAAACCTCGAGTGCTTCTTAGCCCATTCTTGTGACATTATAGCCTGCGATGACGAGCTATATGTTCATACTACGGGTAGAGGAAGATTTGAAGGAATCATGGAAATGAGACATTAACTCGATGAACCTCGGCCGATGTCGCTGCGTCGCTTCGTCACCCTGACACCCTCTCAATATTGCGTTCGTACCTACTCCGACGTCTCCGATTCTTTTGATTCCTGATCGACCGTCGATAACAGAATTGTGCAAACTATGGCGATTATGTGCCATGTATTACGATATATGGCCTGCTGCTTTCCTCACCAGTTCGCTGATGGACCTCACTGACTCGGATGGCTCCCCAGACGCTCATATATCTATGAGTCGTGGTTGAGTTCAAGTCTTATCTCTTTCCTCCTACCTTCTCGCGAGGGCTTTCCACAATGGGTGTCGAAAAGACAGACGCTACTGCTTATCACACTAGCAAAGGCAAATTCTCTGACGTCTCAGACCATGATGCAGAGTCTATTCAGGCCCCCCCGCGGCACGCCCTGCAACGTAAACTCGAGAATCGTCACATCGCCATGATCAGGTGTGTTGACTTTTTTTTTTTTTTTTGGTCAATCCTCACCTCCGTCAAGTATTGGTGGTGTCATCGGCACCGGTCTTTTTGTTGGAACCGCAGACTCTCTGATGTATGGGGGCCCCATCGGTCTGTTGCTCGGCTACATAGTCATGGGCACCATCGTCTATAGTGTTATGATCACTTTGGGAGAAATGGTATGCTTGCTGCACGTTCCAGACATAGATCACATGCCTGATCCTCGTTTCCGTAGGTTGCTTTCCTGCCTATACCTGGCGGTCACATCAAACTGGCCGAGCGCTTTGTTGACCCTGCATTCTCTTTTACCTTGGGTTGGAATTACTGGTATAGCTGGATGATTTCCTGTACGTCCCATTCTTCCTCGTTCATTTCTCGCGATCACTGACCTCTTGCTTTTTAGCACCTTGTACTTGAGTTTAATGCATTTTCTTAGCGCGCCTGCTGACATTTGTTATCGTCCCAGCCGAGATTGCTGCTTCTGCATTATTGATAAACTATTGGAATGACACTGTCAATAACTCAGTATGGGTTATCATGTGTTTTGTCGTCGTCCTCACTATCAATATGCTCGGTACTGGCGCTTACGGCGAGGCGGAATTCATATTTGCGTGCGTACCGAGTACTATATCCCGATCTCGTATCAGTTCTGAGATTACCACAGATCTATCAAGGTCATCACAATCACCGGTCTTATTATTCTCGGTATAATCATCGATTTGGGAGGTGGCCCAAACCATGATCGTATTGGATTCCGCTACTGGAAAAATCCTGGACCATTCGTTCAGTATAATGGTATCGGAGGTGTCAAGGGACGATTCCTTGGCTGGTGGGCCGTTTTGACGCAGGCTGCTTTCTCGTTCATTGGAACTGAGATTGTTGCTGTACGTTATATTCTAAGCTTGTCAATCCATTGCTCACGAATGTCACCTAGATTGCTGCTGGAGAAGCAAAGAATCCTCGTCGTACCTTGCCCAAAGCCATCCGTCGAGTATACATCCGTATATTACTTTTCTACATCGGTGGCACACTCGTCATTGGTCTGCTTGTACCATCCAACAACCCATTACTGCAATTGAACAGTGGAACCGCCCAGTCTCCATTCGTCATTGCTATCGAAACAGCCGGAATTAAATCTCTTCCCTCAGTAAGCTGCACATGTCTTTCCTTTTTTACCTCGAAATTTCTCATTGCGATTCAAATCAGATTGTCAATGCTTGCTTATTGACCTCGGCATGGTCCGCTGCATCTAGTGACTTGTACACTGCGTCTCGTGCGGTTTGTACGTATGCTTATCTGGCAGCCAACTCATCGAAATTAACGTACTTCGTAGATGGTCTTGCAGCCTCAGGAAATGCTTCCAAGTACTTCCTTAAAACCACGCGCAACGGGTCGCCTTACGTTGCCGTCCTCTTCAGCGCCTCTTTCTCCCTTCTTGCCTTCATGGCTGTGTCCACAAGTGCGGGCGCAGTGTTTAACTGGCTTGCCAACATGTCATCTGTCGCTGGCCTTATGTCGTGGTTTGGTATTTCGGTGACGTATCTCCGCTTCTACAAGGGCATGCAGGCCCAAGGCATCGACCGCAAGACGCTCCCTTACTACACAAATCTGCAGCCATACGCAGCGTGGTGGGGAGTCGTTTCAACGATCACCATCTGTTTTGTATGTCAATTTTTGATACCCGCTAATACTGTTTAGACTGACTATCCCTCTACTCTCTAGTTCAGCGGATGGAGCGTCTTCCTCAAAGGAGAGTGGAATACTGCAAATTTCGTCACCAACTACCTCCTGTTTATTACCTGGCCAATTATGTACGTTGGCGCTCGCTACTACTATGGCATCAAGCCTGTTGCTGCGAAGGACATGGACTTCAAGAGCGATCTAGCTGAAATCGTGGCGGATTCATACGACGAACCCCCACCAAAGAATAAGATGGAAGCATTCTGGAAATGGCTGGTGAGCATAGCTGCTCCACTTGGCAATTTTTGACATCACTAACGTCGCCTCATTCGTAGTTGTAATTATACCTGCAATAAGACCTGGAGCCCATTGATGATCGTCAATTATATCACTTGTTTGTAAGCTTTCAATTATCCGACATACTTGGTTGTTTGTTGTATGTCACTGCCAACTCTATCAATGACTACTCGTACCACACCTTTCTCCTTACTATCATACACTATTCCCCTGGACAGCTCACAGAGCACCGCGTCTTAACAGTTTATGTTGTTTGTTGCGGTATATAAATATAGACTCGTAGATTTTCTCTCTCTCACTGTCAACTCTACCAATATAACCTGTGCTCATCATAGGCATTATGTGCCACGAAGCGCCTATGTGAGGCCTGACATCGCAGATTTCGCAAGTATCGTTGAGGAGCTACACATACATCACGTTCGTTTGTCTATCTCCGGGTGCTTTTGAAGCGACTTCGATAATCATGTAGTGTCGAATGTGACGGGTCTGCCTCAAACAAGGCTACGCCCCTGCCTGATGTCAGAGTTGGAGACTAGAGTCTGACTCACTACCCGTCCCAGGACCCAGAGTCAAGATACCGCCACATCCACTCGATGACTACCTATTTTGACAGGTTCACTTCTCCCTGTTCAGGATAAATGCGACTTGGGCGACATCTGCAAGAGCTGCAATAGGTGAGTGCTCCACCACTGTATTCAGACTTGTTGCAGATACTCAGCGGTCCTCAAGAGTGCCATCGCAGGATGGTTCAGGTTTGCATCTGCTTCTTCAAATATTAAATACCCCATATCACCTGTATCGATGACTTTGTAAGATCGAGAATAACCTGGACTGATGGCACTAATCCCTACCATGATCCATCTGGGTGAATAGTCGTTCGGCCGCGGGCTGTCACGTTGCGTGTAGCCGTTGCTACTTTTCGTGCTGAACGTAGGAGTGTCATTGGAGTGGTATTCATATTTGTGGCCAAGTGAGTTGTTGATATTGCCATCTGAACGTGACTCGGAGCGTCTGTAGCGTAGCATGTTTGAATTTGGACCAAGATTTGGGATCGCAGTATTTGATGGGCCGATGGGCTATTCTGACTCCTGAGGCCTTGAGGAGTGAAGCTTCAAGCAGTTAATTCTTGGAGGATGACTCGGAGGTCTTCGTCAACGAGTTCATCTCAAAGAATTTAACTGCTTGTTAACGTTGTTGGTGTGAAGTAAAAGCTCCTCTTGGGTGTCAACGAGAGAATGATCCCAAAATGGTCACGATGATGAGTCATGACATTAATGGGTCTCAAAGTGAAATACAAAACTCACAAACAAATAAAAAACTTCGGCATCACTTGAAAATTTCGGCACCTTCAGACTCCGACAGAGCCAGTGCCAGTGCATACTCGGGAACATAATCGTTGCCGTTGCCGTCGTCGCCATCGTCGCCGTCGTCGTCGTTGTAATCATCATGGCTGGGGTTGTTAGTGGTCATGGACGTGGATCTCGAGGTCGTCCGGCGAAGCGTGGTAGTCATGGGTTGGTCACCGAATCTTCTACTCCTCCAAGTGCTAGCCCGCCAATCAGCGCAGGAGCAGGAGAGCGATCCAAACCACCTACCATACACTGGGACAAGAAAAATAGTCCACGCACCGCTCGCCTTATTGAATGGTGCAAAGTCAACCAGGAGGCTCGACTCAAAATCTTCTCAGATTCTACGAAGGATGCAAAAGAGGAAGGGCGCACACGCCAACAAATGACGACACAGAAGAATGCATACCTGCAGCAACTTGCGACAACCATTTTCCAACATGATGAAGATCCGAAGGTTAGGGAATACTTTAGAGCGCATCCCCTTGCCTTTACGAAGCCCATTCAAAGTCGGTTTACATCGTGAGTCCTGGTTATGACCACAACAAATATCAGTACCGATCTGGCCACTAACTAGCTACTTTACTAGGCTACGCAAAAAGTATAACGAAATCAACATGCAACTCGGCCAGACTGGTGCTGGTCTGTCTTTTGAGGCTATCAACGGAGATGAGAAGATGAAGAGCATACTTGGTTTGTACTTTCCTTTCTGATGCCAGCATACACTCTAAAGGTGTTCTAGACCGGCTCTTGGTGCCATTCCCATGGTGGGTCGATCTCCATGGGTGGTGGAGAACCAATCCTGCATACAACACCTCATTTTCGACGGCTGATCCAGGCCAGGATTTTGCGGCCGAGGCCGCAAGTCTCTTTGGGACAGGCAAGGGCAAAGAGATTGCTCTGCCGATGGATGATGAAGACCATGTGGATGTGGATGAAGACCGTGCCGATATGGATGAAGACTGTGCAGATGTTGATGAAGACCATGCGGATGTTGATGAAGACCGTGTGGGTGTTGATGAAGACCGTGCCAATGTTGAGGAAGGGATGAATCAGGGCAAGGATGACGATGTTCGTATGGACGATAATGATGTCCCCTCCACATCTCACAATGGCGAAGATCGGGACTGGCCTGACTGGGATGATCCAACCGATCCATCGTCACCACGGCTCACTCAGCCCGAGCCTCAGGCATCATCGTCCAACTCCTCACTCGTTATGCAGCCTCCCCCAGGTCTTCAACCACCAGTGTCTACCTACCAACGCCCATTCATATCCTCCATCAACACGAATTGTACAGTGCAGCGAGGCCCTACTATTTCTCTCAATTCTCCAGAACCTGATGACGGCCGGCGAAAATTTCCCTTACCATCCACCATTTCCTCAGGCAAGACCAAGGTCGCCGTCTCTCAAGACATGCAGATAGATCCCTCGTCTGATGACTCTGATGCAAGCACAAGCCGGATGATGAAATCCCTGACCATGCATTCACGCAAAACTGGTGGCGCTCGTCATCTTGGCCACACATCATCTGATCAGGATTCTGATCTTTCCTCGACTACATCTAGCAGATCTGTCTCTCGCAAGCGGCCACGTGATGCAGTATCCGAAATTAGTGCAAAGCTAAACGAGGCATCAGGGTCCCTTGCTAAGCACATCCAGGAGTCATCTATCGCCAAGGCTGAACACAAGCGCTTCAAGTTAGAGTCCAAGATGGCTGGTATGAAGCTCAAGGGCCGTCAACACCAAGAGGAGCGTGAACACATATTCTGCAGTACTACCGCAACTCAGAATCACGAGCGTGCTATGGCAGATGAACGGACGAAGCAACTTGAATTGGAGATAAAGCTAGAGCAAGTGAAGTTAGAGCGCTTGGCTTTGGAGAAGGAGATGTCTCGTCAGGGTAACTAACAGTCATGCATCCCACGTCAAATCATTTGGTGTTTTTCATTCGTTCTCACAAATTCATACTGCATTTCTAGGCCCATTTTTTCATTGTAGCTAATCATGTATCCAAGTGTTTGAATTGAGCCCCCCTCGCTTTCCTTGCATCGCTCATTCAGATCTGCGCAATAGCTGACCCATCAGTGTGTCCCGAAAAATCTGCCCTTCTGAACCGATGAAGCTCTCATCTCCGGCACCGTCTTCGTTGTCTTCGCCATCTTCACCACCTTCTTCCTCCCTGCTATCTTTGCATCTACCCCATTGTCTTGCTTCACGGGCAAAGTGCCCAAATGAATCATCAGCAGTAAGTTTTTCTTCGATTTCAATGATCATGTTATGAAGGATCAAACAGCACCGCGTCCACATATTTGCCTCATCAAGATCTCGCTGCGTCTGTATTTGGATCCGCAGTTCACGAAGGGACTGGAAGCGTCCCTTCAGTGAACCGTAACCGTGTTCAGAGCGAACATGGACCTGGAAACGTTGTGAGTTGATTGGTGTGTGACAACGGTTTGTCTTACCTTTGACAAATGATAGTTGAATGTTTTTTGATTACGGGTCAACCCGCCAGCTGCCGGCCGCTTAAAGGGCACGACACACCATGGACAAGAGCCATACGCTGTGTCTGCCCAAATCCACTCATTCCCGCTCAAAAAATTTTGGGGATTGCGCGCAACCCGGGCCTTCGAAAATGCGTTAGAGTCATGCACACTCCCAGGAACTCCAATGACATAGTCGACAATGCGCAGGTTGTGTGGCATGATTACGACCTTTTGAACATGTGAGTTTGTTTTTTTTTCATTATAGTTCATGGCATACCTGAGCTGATAGTGAGTAGTTCAATTTGCGATCGTAAAAGCCCTCTCCGTGCCATCCGGGCTTTTGAAATAAGTTAAATGGTGTGCCGTCGACACAGAGAAAACCGCCCCTCCACTCTGGGCATGTTTGTTCTTCGACCCACGTCTTTGCCCTCTCCCTCTCGATCTGATCGTCCTCATAAAGTGGGTCGAAATGTATTACGGTGTCATGATGCTGAAGAAGCGCGATCATTACACGTCGGTGACAGTTATAAACTGTCCCTGTCGAGATGCCTGCCCATTCTGCTATGTCTTCCATTGTCGCCGCATTTCCGTAATGACCCGCACTATTTAGGAACACTGCCAGCTGCACCGGGATAGGCAACTGTGGGTTATTGGAGTTGTTGTGGAACACTGGGTGGGCAATGATTAAATTAACAAGGTGCTCGAAGACAGGGGGATCTACGCGAAGTTTACAGCGAAATTTCTCAGGATGATCCAGCGCCCACTCCTCCAGCAGATGGAGCTGTGATGCACGGCTCGATTTTGGACGTGTGAAGAGGACGCGACTCTTCTCGACTTCGTCGTGCAAGGCTTCGATCGTGTCACTGAATTCAGTGAAACTACGCGACATCGTTAGTATCTCGGTCGCAGAGGACGCCGACATCGAAAAAAGCGACTCGGTGACGGAGGAGGTGGACGATATGGATGACACATCCATCATGCTACGAGTATCATCCGAGTCTGGAGACTTGGATGATGAACTTGAACTACTACTACTATCCCATTCATCAAGTCCTTCGATTGCGGTCTTGGCTAGTTCCAGGTATCGAGCAAATTGTAAGTCTATTTGGTTGGTACGTAGTGCTTGTAGGATGTGTTCGCGAGCTGAGGTATGAGGCATTGTTCATCGTTATCGATTACCCCGCGATTGTACTTTGTATTTGTTATCTTATCAATTATGGCGGAGCTTCAATACGGCTTGAAGCCGTCATGTTTTAGATCTATATTTTTTTTTTGTTGCTTTGATATTTTAACTTTGAGACCCACTATTGCTCGCTTGATTATTTTCTATCCCTGATTCCTGCTGGCAGATATCGTAGTTCAAAACACTAGTGCATGGAAAAGCAACAAGATCTGTCCCACCAACGCGAGTCAAACGAATCCCCGTATAAGCCTGAGCTCGATTGAGATGTCCCGCTTGCCTCGGTCACTTAAATGCCGGACCCATTACTTACGTAAATAGTACGTGCCACAAACTTGAAGCTTGATGATTTTTGTCCAGTTTTTTCTACCCCCACACTTCGCCGCAAAGACAGAAATCTATCACCATCGTTCTCAACTCAACCTGTGTTCCTCTCAAGGCATCACGAATGGACAATAAGATGGGATAGCATATGATCTGATTTGCTATCGGTGCGAGTTTTATATATTTGACATTTCGCCTTCAAATAAACAATGTCCTGCGTCAGAGACCGCAGGATTTACGCACCTACCACGTGCTCTTCCACCCCAGGAGAACTGTGACTTAGGCAAATACCACAGCCAAATGTCCGAGTATGTTGCACTGGTAGTACGCTCCATACCAAGAGTGGTCCCTTATTTGCCTCCCCCCCCATGAAATCAGGCGTTCATTGGAGTCACAGAGCCATCACATGTGAAGATTTGTCTGGAAGTATTTCAAGAAATATTCGCAGTTGGTGTCGCTGCGTTTCGAATAGCTCAGCTAGTCGCTTCAAAGCTTTAATCTAGGTTCGTACCTTTGCTTCGATGAATGCCCCTTCGAATGCTATCAATGTTCCTTTCCCTTTTGCAGTACATGAAATCGGAGCTGCTGCACCATCGCCTGATCGTTTTTCTCGAGCCAGACGTGAGGAAATCGTGTCAGGCGGTAGCGCTGCATTTCGAGCAGGTCGCACAGTTATTTTGTAGAGTTGTTCTCCGGAGCTTTACTTTAGGGTTCGCACCTTTGCTTTGTTGTATGTTTCTTTGGACACTATTGATATTCAACTAGAAAAAATCAAATATTCCTTTCGGCAGTGTCTGAAATTGGAGTCACAGCATCACCACCCTCAAAGACACAGCACTCGCTGACCACGTATCTTTGACAGTCCCGTTATCTCTTTCACCGGTACCCCCCCTCCCAGCGCAGGGAAAATGCAGCACCGCCCATCAACACCACTGTCAAATAAGCGTCTTCAGTCTACTTGGACTCGTTGCGGACCCACACAGTACCCCTGATGTCTGGCACTACCCGCTTGATGGGGCATCACCAGATATCGGGAGTTCATTGAGGTCGTAGCGCCATCACCTGCGCGAATGCTAAGGAAAATCTTTCTAGGAATTCTTGCAGTTGGTGGCGCTGCGTTTCGAGTAGACCGCAGGGTTGTCCTTTAAAACTTCGCTCTCCAAGTTCGTACCTTGGGCAACCATTCGGACCCTGCTGATATTCTACTAAAATGTCAAATATTCCTTTTCGCAGTGTTTGACATCGAAGTCGCAGCACCATCACCTGCTTGGAGCTTCGACATTTTCAATGTGAGAAGATCCTCGCAGTTGGCGGTGCTGCGTTTTGAACAGATCGCAGAGCTGCTCTAACCCCTTTAAAGTTCATACCTTGGTTTGGTCCAATGCCTGTTTGAACGCTGTCAAGGCTCAGTCAATTGCTTCAGACCCTCCTCAGGACATGGTTTCACCCAGGACCCACATATCTCTGGTTGTGGCGTTGTTGATACCATGCCAGTCTGTCTTATACTGCAGGCACACCCTACACACACGTCGTCCCTTCTCTTTTTGTTTTCATTTACCTGGTAAAAGCGAGGATAGGTGGTTGTTGCATACTTGATACGGTTCATGCACTCCTCCCCAGGTTTGCTCCACAGGTTGACTTCTTTCACAGGTAATCTCGATCGGCGATCTGAACACATATAAATGTCCAGGCTCTATTCTCATCTCGCTGTATGTTTAACAATGAGACCGCGCGACGCCCGTTAACAATCGTTTTGTCCGTGTTCGCCGCTATTCTAGTACTCGACGTCAGAGCACTCACATTCGTCCCCGCAGCACAACAACCATCAGCGAATGCGTAAATCCAGCATTTCAAGCCCAAGGATCCAGCAGTAACAACTGTTGCAACGTCGAGGCCTCGTCTTTCACTGGCTTTGCTACTTCTACGAAACAGAACACATGCAGATACAATGACATGCGCTGGACGCCCCTGTTGACTGTTTGTTTCCACCTTTAGGCCCAACTTGTCGGCCCAGATCAAAATGGGATTATATATCCAACTTGCTCTAGTATTGAAGTCACACACGCTCCCGGACCGTGTCCCACACGACATGCTGGAGGAGCTTGCTCGAGCAGTCTTGGCAAAGTCTCGTCGAGATTTTGACTACATCACTCTTCCATAGTCATTTCCTTTTTTGTACTTAGGCAACACCGTGCTCTGCGTACCGTCCCGCCTCCTTCGAATCTCAACAGTACTTTGATCTGCAACACTGAGGCAGGTCTCCCCGCTGTTCCCACCGACGTCCTCTCACAATACTGCACCCTCTAGACCGTCTTTAAAAGCTCAACAAGACCTCAATCATGTCCAATAAAGACACCCTTGTCATCATTCCAAGTTCCTTGTTCGATTCAGGCAGCAACATCTCAAAAGACCCGACGAAAACGTGGGCCGACGCACCTGACGGAGAGATCGAAAGTCGGCCACTAGACATTCCTGACGACTGGAGGCCGCCGTCCCACCTATTCGCTCGCTTTTGCTTCACTCAACTTTGCTTGATCATTCTCGGAAAACCAGATCTTGGGGAACTGTGGCAGGATGTGAGCCACGAGGCGGGCTGGGATAAGGTCATGGGCAATGACTTATGGAAGGCACTGGACCACAGGGGATGCTGGTGTCAGTATTTTACTAATAGTAATATTGACTTGCAGATCTTGCATCGTATCTCCGTGGGTTTTTTCACCGTTAATCCCCATTCTATCTTGCAAGACTGATGCTTCTGCTTTCTTACGTAGATCTTCCGTTCCTACGCCGTGTTTTTGGTATGTGGGAACTCTCGGGACTGTTGTTCCTCCTGGAGTTCAACTTCAGAGTGTTGTTCGCCACGACCACCTTTGAGATAGAGATACAAGAGATTTGGGCCCATGCAGGGGATTTTCTAGTACGTGTTTGAACTTTCATTGACGTGAGACCTGGAAACCGCCCAAGGGGGCGATTTTGATTTGCCTCGCTTTCTCTTGCATCGCGGACTTGCATCTCGCTTTGTCTTGGACTTGCTTGGCGAGTTGTATGTGTACCTATCTAGTTTGCATGAGGGTCCACACTTACCTTTTTGATATCTTATTCAGGTGGGCTTGGGCTTTTGCTAGAGGTGAATGCGGTGAACTGCTGGATGTTTCTTGCGGTGCCTTGCATGTTCGCCCCATTTTTGTAAGCTGTTTCAAGAGGAATGTGCGGGCGATGATCCAGAGGGGCGGATTGGATTTTATTCTGTAGTTTTGGCGTCACCTTGGGCTACTTGCAACAAATTTGGGATCGTGATTGTCGAATATTCTATAGCATGTAATCTCATTGTCTCCCCTCAATACCACATCATACCTGCTGAAGCGGCGTTGACACTGAGACACTGTTCAAAGGGCCTTTCAAATCAGCGGTAACGACTTTCATTTCACTTTTGACGCATGATGCTAAACTGCAGGCTGACCTGCAGGTAAAAATCAGGCCACCTTCAGATCGTTTTCGTCTGTTTACCCATCGTTGTCAACAAATTTCGCGCTCTCAAAATTGTTTATTATACCCTTGTAGTACAGTTGTTGCAGACTGATACCACGAAGTCCTGCCTGGCGAAGCTCTAACATCAATCAGACACGAGCTACAATAGCCTGCTTCTACATGGACGGGGCTGAATCGAAGGCACAGTATATGGGCTATTACTATTAGAGTTCCGAGACCGCTCGTACTGCGTAGTAAATTAGGGTAGCAGTTACCCAGAACACGATAGTCAACCAGACCGTCACCAGGAGCCTCTGTAGTAGTATTGAACTGTGAGGTGTTCGTAGATGCTTAGAGACAACCATTTAAAGAACAAGCGGTGAGTTATATACTGACCGGCACTACTGCTAGTTACGCTACTTGACTTATTTCCGATGTTTTGACGGGCCAGAGGTATCCGACCCGAGTGGGCTGCGGCTATTGCTCCAACAATCGCTTCTGGATGTGCCAACATGGGATACAGCGGTGTTGGGCCTCGCAGAAGGGGTGGATGGCAAGGATGATGCTAGAGGGGAAATAGAGGGAGGACTCTGCGAAATTGGTTTCATTAGGTGAGGATTAGGAATGGATCCCACATGATCCGCTGCGGGAAGAATAGTTGCCGGAGCTGACGCTCCTCTTATCATATCAGAGGTGGAAACGGGTGCCGAAGCTTTCGTTGTCGAGTGCCGGGAATCAGGACCAATGATTGACAGTCCTTCATTGAACTGCAGGTTAATGAATTGAATCTGAGGATGAGAGAGAATTACAAGTGAATAAAAAATGATTAGAAAAATACACACCTTTGCAAGTTTCTGCCCTTCAAATAAAATATTAAGACAAGACCGCAGACCCTTCAAACACCATTGCCGTTCGAGCCAGGAAAGGAGGTGGCGATTCCAGAAAGCCTGGAATATACGGTTGAGCGTGTCATCCCACGGACTTGGAGCACGTGACAGATGAACGACCCAATTTTGACATGCGTACTTGAGAGCGTCGGAAGCTGATCGACTTTGTTCCTGTGCCTCGTTTGCGAAGGTTATAAACGCATTCATAGCGTGCATGATCTCCCTGTCGGGTGGAAAATGAACGTCTGGCAATGCAGAGGTGGAAAGATCCTGGGGCATCAACGCAAGGAACATGGGAAATTTCAAGAAATCTAACAAACTTTTGAATTGCTGGACTACCTGGAAGGTTGGTAGTAAAGGCAATTCTGCGACAACGATATACTCGCTTATTGCCTCCAACGTACCCGAGAATTCTTCCATAGTCGCCCAGACAGACGCTGCAGGAGTGGATTGCCACGCTTGGCCCTGGGCCGTCTGCAGCCAGTCTCGCCCACCCGGGGCCCGAAGCCAATCTCTCCCACCTGGGGTTCGGAGCCAGTCTATCACTCCCCTGGTCTGAAGCCAGTCTAGCCCTCTCCTGGTCTGAAGCCAGCCTAGCCCTCCCTGGGTCTGTAGCCAGTCTCATCCTAAATGGGTTTGGAGGCAGTTTGGCGTGACTTGGCTCTGCAGCCAGTTTCGTCCTCCCTGGGTCTGCAGCGAGTCTTGTCCTCCCTGGCTCTGCAGCGAGTCTGGTCCTACTTGGGTCTGCAGCGAGTCTTGTCCAATCTGCAGCAAATGATGTCCTGACTGGAATTGCAGCCAGTCTCGTCCTGACTGGGTATGCAGCCAGTCTCGTTCTCCCCGGGTCTGCAGCCAGTCTCGTCTGATCTGCAGCCAGTCTCGTCTGATCTGCAGCCAGTCTCGTCTGATCTGCAGCCAGTCTCGTCCGATCTGCAGCCAGTCTCGTCCTGCCTGGGTCTGCAGCCAGTTTCGTCCTGCCTGGGTCTGCAGCCAGTTTCGTCCTGCCCGGGTCTGCAGCCAGTCTCTTCCTGCCTGGGTCTGCAGCCAGTCTCTTCCTGCCTGGGTCTGCAGCCAGTCTCGTCCTGCCCGGGTCTGCAGCCAGTCTCTTCCTGCCCGAGTCTGCAGCCAGTCTCGTCCTGCCCGAGTCTGCAGCCAGTCTCGTCCTCCCTGTGTCTGCAGCCAGTCTCGTCCTGTCTGTGTCTGCAGCCAGTCCCGTCCTCCCTGAGTCTGCAGCCAGTCCCGTCCTCCCTGAGTCTGCAGCCAGTCCCGTCCTCCCTGGGTCTGCAGCCAGTCTTCTCCTGCCTGGGTCTGCAGCCAGTCTCGTCCTGCTTTGGTCTGTATCCAGTCCCGTCCACCCTGGGTCTGCAGCCAGTCTCGTCCCGCCTGGGTCTGCAGCCAGGCACACCCATCTACAGTCTGAAGCCAAGGTTGTAAATCTGAAGCACGATCTCCTCTAAGCCATAGAAGACTGATGAGAACCAGGAGGGGCTCCAGTGGCTGGACAAGGAAGGCTAATGAGTCCTTCAATCTGTAGGGGTCCTCAGGTTGCATAGCCTGGCTCTGCTTCTTCAACTCTGAGAGTGCATCCAAGAAGGCCGTGCTTTCTGTGATCTCCGTCATCAAGCGGATTGACGAATGTGCAAGTAGGGAGTGGGGTGATGTGATAATGCATACTTGAGGAAGGCTGCAGTTTGAGGGGTTGGAAACATAGTCACGAATGGACGAGTGATATATATTCACGGGGAGGGTGCTGTCTGGAGGAATATTAATGACAGACCGTAGTTGTATCAGTGTCGTTTCCACATCTCTGCCCAAACCAGGGCCAAGAAGTGCTGCGATTTGCAAAGTAGGCAGAGGGTCTGTGAGGGCAGCAACGATGGACAAGTGCAGATATGCTCGCTTGGGATTGGCGCACGTGGAAAGGATACAGTCGTATAACTTGTACACCTCCGTTCCCGCCAGCAGCTCGCTTGTAAGCTCGAGCATCAACTTTAGCCGATCGCGGGGATCCTTGTCTTCATCATGAATAATAAACTTCATCATCGTGGATGCCACAATAAAATGTCTGCCCGCGCGGCTGGCGAGCCGCGCAAGTTGATCCCTTGATGGCCGAGGGAAATCGGTATGGGCGACTTGCCAGTTCTCCGAATGAATGTTGCAAGAAAGTACAGATGTCGTTATCAATGTCTGCCCCGTCTAATGAGATAATGCCACCCTCCCCAGAGGTTCTCACGGGTATCTCACACACCAACGGGCGCACCTCTTCGTTCTGCATGACTCTACAGATATGCGATTCCGAGCGACTCGTGAGCAGAATGTGAGTCACAGGAAGGTCAGGGTCATGCAGAGCCTCTGCGAGGGAAAGAATGAGATTGATAAGCTCGGGTTCAGATGTGCATTCATCAAGGGCATCGACAATAAACGACAAAGGCGGACCCCCGCGCAATCTGGGTTGAAGCCAACGGAGAGGTTGGAGAAAGAGGGCCTCCATCTGGTCACAAAGAGGTGTGTCGGGGTCTAGTAGAGCAGGATTGTTGCGAATGGCTCTATTCACATCCTTCCGGATGTTAGGGAAATTGTTGGCGAGCTGGTAGACAATCGTCGCAAAAAAATATCCAGCCGTGCGACGTTTCGTGTTCTCGCGCGAGAAAAAGAATGTTCCTCCGAGCCGCTTTTCAACATTCGTCTCCTCTGTCACTTTTAGACCTCTCATCCTCTCAGCTACAGTGAATGCAACGGCAGATTTTCCGACGCCTGCCGTGCCATGCAGCCAAATGAGTTGATTTTTCTCTTGGTTATCCAGTGATTTGTAAATGTATTTTAGGAGATCCACCCGGGTCCCTTCCAAACATTTAGGGTGGGGCTGACGTTCACGAGAGTTGTATTGAGCACCCTTGACAGCGACCTGGGAGAGCCTTGCCCAAGTTCCCTCAAGCGATGGAAGACCTGTCAAAGAGGTCAGAGAGAGAGGGATAAGATATGGAAATACTGACATTGATCCTCACTCATTGACGAAGTGGTGGAATGGACCAATTAAAAGTAATAGATGCGATTCGGAGGTGCGGTTACTAGAAATGATTTGGGCGATAGTTCATGACTTACGAATGTTTGAATCAAAGCATGGGGCCATCGTGGTTGCTGTGCACTCAGCTGTACAGCCAGATAGAAGAACATTACATAATTGAACGTACGTCAGCTAGGCGCTACTATGATGATCCTTTACATAAATAGTGCGCATTTTTTGTCTGGTTTTTTCTACCTCCAGTATCGGATATCCACACTTTGCCGCACAGAGACACCCATCATTCTCAACTCAACTTGTGTTCATCTCAAGGCATCACAAAGGGAAAATAAGATGGGATGCTATCTGATCTGATTTGTTATCGGTGCCAGTTTTTATATTCGACGTTTTCGTCTTCAAACGAGTAATGTCGCTGCGTTTCGAGCAGATCGGATAGTCACGTCGCTTCAAAGCTTCGCTCTAGGTTCGTACGTTTGCTTAGATGAATGCCCCTTGAACGCTGTCAATGTTTCTTTCCCTTTGGCAGTATCTAAAATCGAAGCTGCAGCGCCATCGCCTGGTCTTAATTTGTTCGAGTAAAACGTGAAGAAATCATGCCAGGCGGTGGCGCTGCATTTTGAGCAGGTCGTAGAGTTATTGTTCTTCAGAGCTTCACTCTAAGGTTTGCACCTTTGTTTAGTTGAATTATCCTTTGGACGTTATTGATATTCAATCAGAAAAAATCAAACATTCCTTTCGGCAGTATCTGAAATTGCAGTCACAACATCATCACCCTCAAATTCATTTTGAAATATGAAGACATTCTTGCAGGTGGCGATGCTGCGTTTTGAGCAGATAGCAAGATCACTCTTTTCTAGGTTTGCGCCTACCTTGCTTGTAGGACACAGCACTCACTGACCATGTATCCTTGGCAGTCCCGTTATCTCTCTCATCGGTACTCCTCCCAGCGCAGGGGAAATGCAGCACCCATCAACACCACTGTCAAATAAATGTCTTTAGTCTAGTTGAACTCGTTGCAGACCCACACAGCACCCCTGATGTCCGGCGCTACCCGCCTATTTGGGCATCGCCAGATATTGGGAGTTCATCAAGCTCGTGGCGCCATCACCTTTGAGAATGCCAAGGAAATTCTTGCTAGGAATCATTGGTGGCGCTGCGTTTCGAGCAGACCGCAGGGTTGTCCTTCTCTCCAAGTTCGTACCTTGGGTAACCATTTGGACACTGCTAATATTTCATCAGGAATATCAAATATTCCTTTTGGCAGTCTCTGAAATTGGAGTCGTAGCATCACCACCTCCTTGGACTTCAACATCTTCGATCCTCGCAGTTAGTGGCGCCGCGTTTTGAACAGATCGCAGAGTTGCTCTAACTCTTTTTAAGTTCGCACCTTGGGTTGGTCCAATGCCTGTTCGGATGCTGTCAAAGTTCAGTCAATTGCCTCGTCGAGACACGGTTTCACTTAGTACCTGGATATCTTAGGTTGTGGTCTTGTTGATGCTAATGCCAGTCTGTCATATACCGTAGGCACACCCTAGGCGCACGTCGTCCATTCTCTTCTTGTTTTTCACTTGTCTGGTAAAGCAAGGATAGGCGCTTGCTGCATATTTGATACGGTTCGTGTGCTCCTCCCCAGGTTTGCTCCACAGGTTGACTTTCTTCCGTCGTAGGTAATCTTGATCGCCAATCTGAACACAAGTATTCAGGCTCTATTTCCATCTCGCTGTTAACAATGAGACCGCGTGATGCTCGCTAACAATTGCCTTGTCTTGTTCACCGCTATTCTAGTACTCTACGCCAGAGCACTCACATTTGTCCTTGTAGCACGATACCATCAAGGAATACAGACATCCAGCATTTCAAGCCCGAGGATCCAGCAGTAACAACTGTTGCAAATATTGAGGCCTCGTTTTTCGTTTGCAATACTGCTTAGAACACAGTGATGTCACCGAAGAACGGATTCTCTTTGTGGATGCAATGTGATATGCGCTGGACGGCCCTGTTGATTCTTGAGAGCGTTCGTTTCCACCTTTAGGCTTGTCCAACTTGTCGGCCCAGATCAAAATGGAATCATATATCCAACCTGTTCTAGCTATAGTATTGAAGGTTGTCATGCACGTGTCCCACACGACATGCTGCTGGAGAAGCTTGCTCGAGTAGCGACCAGTCTCGTTAAGATTTCGACTCGGACTACATCACTCTTCCATAGTCATTTCCTTTTTTATACTTAGGCAACACACTCTGCGTACCGTCCTGCCTCCTTCGAATCTCAATACTTTAATCTGCAACACTGAGGTAGGTTTCCCGCTGTTCCCGCCGACGTCCTCTCACAATCCTGCACCCTCTAGACCGTCTTTAAAGCTCAACAAGACCTCAAATCATGTCCGATAAAGACATCCTTGTCATCATTCCAAGTTCCTCATTCAATTCGGGCAGCAACATCTCAAATGACCCGATGGAAACGTGGGCCCACGCATCTAATAAAGAGATCGAAAGTCAGCCACTAGGCCTTCCTGACGACTGGAGGCCGCCGTCCCACCCCTTCGCTCGCTTTTGCTTCACTCAACTTTGCTTGGTCATTCTCGGAAAACCAGATCTTGAGGAATTGTGGCAGGATGTGAACCATAAGGCAGGCTGGTATAAGGTCATGGGCAAAGCAATGGAACACAGGGGATGCTGGTGTCAACATTCCACGTACGTGGAGAGCTTCGACCTCTGTGTAGGTTTCACCGTTAATCCCCATTCTATCTTGCAAGACTGACGCCTCTGCTTTCTTACGTAGACCTTCCGTTCTGTCCTCGTGTTTTTGGCATGCTTCTTGATACTATGTGCTAATAACAACCCCGAAGCTCCGATTGGGGTCTCGGGACTGTTGTGCTTCCTGGAGATATATTGCCGATTTTCGCTCACCCTGACTATCAGTGACATGAAGATAGAAGATATTTGGGCCCATGTAGGGGATTTTTAGTACGTAGTGAGCTTTCATTGACGTGAGACCTAGAAACGGCGCAAGAGGGTGATTTTGAATTGGCTCGCTATATCCCGCTTGGCGGACCTTTATCTCGCTCTGTCTTGGGCTTTCTTGGTGAGCTGTACGTGTACCTCTTTGGTTTGCATAAGGGTCCGCACTTATCTATCTTATTCAGGTGTCTTTGGGCTTTTGCTAGGAGTGAAACCGGAGAAGTGCTGGATGCTTCTTGCGGGGGCTTGCATGCTCACCAAATTTTTGAACGCTGTTTTCAAGAGGAACATGCGAGCGATGATCCAGAGGGGTTGATTGGCTTTTATTCTGTTGTTTGGCATCATCTTGGGTTACTTGCAATAAGTTTTGGATCATGATTGTTTGAATATTCTATAGCATATAATCACATTGTCTCCCTCTAACACGACGTCATACCCGGCCGACACTGAGACACTGTTTAGAGGGTCTTTCAAATCAGCGATAACGACTTTCATTTCGCTCGACGCCAATTTTGATCGTTATAATGTATTCCGAAAGGAGCTTGCAGACACGATGCTGAACTGCATGGATTGTGTTAGAACAAAGGCACGGCAGCGACAGCATACATGGGCTATTACTATTAGAATTCCGAGACCGCTCGTGCTACATAGTAAATTATGGCAGCGGTCACCCAGAACACGTTAGTCGACTAAACCGTCTAGAAGCCTCCGTACGTTCTTCATCAAAACATCGTCCAGCACCATGGCACTTGACAAAGGCACCATAGTCCAGACAAAGCCACTCCACCCCTGAAGCAGTGACCCCAGGAACAGTGCACCGAAAGCTGTTAAAATATCAAAAAAATCAGTAAAGAAATGGAATACGAATTGAAGAATATGCATACCGCTTATGAGCGACGTAAAAGAGTAGACAAAATTGAGTTGTATCATGCGGAAGAAAGTGAGGAATCCCATGACATCCCTACACGCCGTTTCAGATACTTCACTAGTCTGGGTAAATTGTTTGGGTCAATCGCGGCGCTGTTGCTCTAGGAAGGTCTTATGCCATTGTCCTTCTTGTGAAATAGCTCAACTTTGGTGTAGATAATCTTGGTGTAGAATATCGGGACAAATAACCCCAGGAAGGAGCACAGGTACGAGACGGACATGAACTTCCGATAAGTATCGTAGTTGTCATTTTGAATGGGAGGTTTTTCTATCGTGCATGCAATGTTCATAAGAAAAACCAGTACTTGCTTAAAAAAGCGAACGTGTCAGCCTCTGCTACAAAGACAGAATGGAGATGAAATACTCACGCCCACCATGATCCCCAAGAAGTGAACGAACAAACGATCGTTTCGCTTCTTCCAGCCGTTCTCCTGTGCCACCTCCTGCCACAGTTTTTCAAGAGTGGGCTCTCCAACCATCAGCTGGCAGAATGAAGTGAAGTGGTAGCGAGCATCGGGCTCAGTTGGTGGTTTCCAGTCATCGGGAAGTTCTGGGAGCTGGCTTTCGGTCTCTTCGTGCAATGGAGAAGGTAGACTGAAACTTGTCGTCGCAGGTTCCTCTGAGGTGTCGCTGTCAGGATAAATAGCTACCGGGTTGTTTGAATATGTATTGGACATGGTTCGAGGTGGCTAGTGATGGGTGTTACTTAAGAAGGATTGCGAAGCGCAAGGATGTACTTACAGCGTTGTAGATCAAAGAGTTGAACGTTGAGATTTTATGTAAATGAGGGGTACTAGGTATCTCCTGAGTGCAAAAAAAGGAAATTACGAAGCGACTTGGTGATGTAGTTAAAACTTAAATCCATGACTGGCATGAGTGCTAGTACTGTTGACAAATGAAAGAGGTCGCCATACAGGCAGCGAGGCCCGTGAGATCTTGTGTCGAGTGCTTAAGAAGATGGGGGAACGAGGCGAATAGACTGGAAGGTGATTGTCGAAGAGCAAGTGGCAGAGTATTGTGCATAGTCCTAGATATAAGTACGTATGATGAACTGCCGAAAATTGAACAAGTCAATGACGCTCCAGGAGACGAGCGAATAGTTCGAAGTACACAATTAAAACATGTATAAGAATTAAAGAAACGGCTCTGAAATCGTAGCTCACATTGGTACTACAGGTTCCACCAAAAAACACCAGGAGTATTACCATTCTTTAGAATGGGATGTGTGGCAATGCCGAACTACACACTATGGTCCAAATAGCGAACGCTGCCAAGTAAGCTGATTATTCGTGAAAACAGCAGGCCAAGATTCCGCTGATTGTGACAGTTAGCGCAAGAGAAGTAAAGTTATTCACCCGTAGAACAATGAGAGAAAGAGCTGGTAGAATTCTAGCAAGTCAGCACAAAACTAAATCTGAACCGAAAACTATGCCTACCAGCCGTGAGACATCCCAAAGAGGGGGCGAGAAAAAGTTGCACCATGCGAAATAAACCGACGTGAACCAGGATCTGACTACGCCCCAATTGGAATGGTTTATTGTCCTGAGCGAGATATTTGGGTCAATAACGGAGCTGCACGCTTCGGAGATTGTCCTATCTCCTTACAACATTCATACAGATTCACCTGCGCGACGGATCCCATAAAAAACCCCTCGAAAAATAGTCCCATGCAGGACGACAGTGACGATGCGAAGAGCAGCCAGAGATAAAGCCCATGGGAGATGGTGGCAAGTTCTTGAGCAGGCGGAGGATTCAACCTGCATGCAAGAGTCGCAGAAAGAACCAAGGCGTGCTACAAAGCGAACAAGTCAGTTTTACCAAAAAGAATTAAAATACGGTATGCTCACACCCACAAGGGGGCCCAGCGTCCCTTCCTTCAAGTCACTGTTATACTTCTGCCAGCCGTTTTCCTTTCTCACATCCTTCCATAATTCCTCGAGATCGAACTGTTGGAGAGTGAAGATGCAGATGAAATGAAGACAACGCCGAGCGCGGGGCTCTGAGGGAGGTTTCCAATCATCAGGAATGTCAGGAAGCTGCTGTGTGCATCATCCAAGTGAGGAGCTCCTTGCGTTTACTAGATTCCAATAACTACCATATCACCATCTTGTATACACAAGGAGCTCATGCGTGAAAATACGACTGAAGTGGCTCACCATGGTGGTCATCAATGCGGCAAGAAGATTTGAACATGAAGGTTTTCAACCAGGTGTATCATCGGCAACGCCCGAAACACCAGATCTGAATCCCCTTATACGGCGCATTACATTCAACGATGTCCTCGGCAGGAGATATCCATTTTTCAATGATCATCGAATAGAACGTGTGCTGTGGGGTTCGCTGGCGGTGATCTTCGTCTAGTCTATCCTGAATAAACAGCATGTACGCAGAGGCATGTCGAAAAGGCGATTTTAGTGATTCAGACAACATGAATGGTTCGAAGCATACAAATCGATTGGACATGTATAACAAAAGGCTCAAAAATTAACGTCTTAGCTATGGATACTAGGAGTATTACGATTACGTCGACCATGCCGAACCAACACGCTGCCAAATAGTGGATATGTCATAATGATTAATCCTTCGCTGATCCTTCGTAAAAGCAGCGTCCATGAGGTTGCTGACCGTGGCAACTACCACAAAAGAAGTAAAGCCATTCACTCCTAGCGCAGTGATAGAAAGAGCTGGTAAATCGTCAGCGCTGCCAGAATTAAACCCGAACTGATGAGGCCCACTCACCGCCTGTGAGACACCCCAAAGAATTGGCAAGAACAAATTGTATCATGCGAAATGAACATAGGTGTGTTAGGACCTCGACACGCGCCACATCGAATGGTCTCTGGTCCTGAATGAATTAATTGAGTCAAGGGCAGAGAGCCGTACACTGCAGAAATCCCTACCTCCGTGAAGTCTTCATCTAACTCTACCATTGTGGCGGTTGTCTTGAAAAATGTGTGGAACTTCAGTCCCATGATGGATAGCAGGACTGACGCGAATAGTAGCAACAGATAAAGCACACCGAGGCTTTGACTGCGCGATTGATTCATGCATGCAAGACTCGCAACAACAACAACCAGTACTTGCTACGAAAGCGAACACGTCAATCATACAAGACAGAATAGAAAGAAATGCTATCTCACACCGACTTTGAGACCCACCGCCTCATCGTGCAAGTGCTTATTATACTTCTTCCAGCCAGTTTCATTTCTCACCTCTTGCCATAATTCCCCGAGATCAGGACATTTGAGAGTGAATTTACAGAGGAAGGTGAACAAACGACCTAGCGCGGGGCTCTGAGGGAGGTTTCCAGTTATTAGGAATGTTGGGAGCTTTTCCTGCTCTTTCCGCGAGTCATGGAAGGCGAGACAACATCCGTCTTCGTCATGTCTTTCGGGATATCGCTGATGGAATCAAAAGAGGAAGGAATGTCGACGAAGTTGTCTGAATCCGTGTTGGTCATGGTCGACGGTGGCCAGTGATGTGCCTTGGTCTTGTTGAGCTTGACAAGTGGTCTAAATGGAGAATGATCAATATTGTGAGAGGTTAGCAAAAACAGTGGAATTCCTACCTGCACGGTGTAGTTGTCTCGAACAAGGGGGGCACGGCAAAGAACGCGGGATACACGCAAAGCCTTGAGAAGATCTAGAGGAGGAGGGAATGTGCAAGGCGCGGATCCTTTAAGGGGGGGCACAGACCCCTATTATTTTACTATGTACGGCAGAAGGACCGGAGTACTTACTAAGTTAGGCGATACATCCGTTTGCCATGTCGAGATTCGAACGAACTTGGAGGTCACTGTAATCAGTAACGCAGTTAAAATCTAACCATGAACGTTAACGTTGACGGTCAACGCTTCAGCAGTATACATATGCAGCGCAGATGTGCCCCTTCATCAGGTGGAAAAGGGAAAGTGTGATTACAAGAGCTGTTTTGTGGCGCCACACAAAATTTTGCATTGCAGACAAAGCCTGGTAATAACATAAGAATGCGCGACACCACACTAAGCCTCCATTCCCAGAAGCACTTCTTCTTTGACGCAAGCGTCTAGGCACGACTGCAGGGATGTCTTGAACTGAGCCCTTCACGGAAGCGAAAGGTACATGAAGGAATTATACGTCGTCGAATGTCTGCATGATGTTGCAGGCATTGTCAAGTGTTTGAGAACGTCCAAGATAAATCTGAGCCCACCTTACGGCATATCAAGCACACTAACCGATTCTTAAATTGACCTTGGAACAATTCTACAATAAGTGAATCGTTCTGCATCCAGTCAATTGCCCATTCTTGTGAGGCAATTGACTGAGGAAGTTGCACTAGTTTGGCTTCGCGTTCAGGGCGTCGTCCCCTTGATGCCCTTTCAGCATGTCAAGGCGCGATCTGAACATATATGAAGGCCATCAGTATTCAGTACTAGACTCAGGATGATCAACATTAATGTCATTTCCAATGACCTACTTTGGTTTAGTTTAAGTGTATCACTTCAGCGCCACTCTAAGAGCACCCATGATGTATCTGCATTTTCAATGCATTGTAGCAATGTCATGTTTGCGCTCTTCTATCGGCAACAATGAGATAATGCACATACCACATACCACACGAAATCATAGACCTCATAAATGTCAACCTCATGCTGAGGTCTCAACGCGCCAACATGGAATCACTGCTGAGATGATGTAAAATAAGATATCCTGCGAGTAAGAGCAAGGGTCAGACTTTACAGAGTGAGAGGTAAATGCAAGCGGATAGACAAGGCTTTACTAAAGTGCAGTGGAATGTCAACTTTCGCACGGAACAAAGTGACATTGTCCTGAGGTGGTGAAGGAATGTATTTGCAGAGTATCGACACTCACCATGACTTCCTTAGTGAACGACAAGTCCATCCTGGATACTATTAATATTGGCATGCTGTATCCACCCTGAAATGTTGACGGCATCGAGTTCGAATATAGGCCGGAAGAAACGTGCGGACTCTGCGGAGTAGAGAGGGAGCGCGCGATGCTGTGGAATGTTTGTTAGCAGTGTCAACGTAGTCCTGACGTATGGGAAAATACATGTAGGGCCGGTCGCAGGCCTGGGCGCTTCGTTCATACAGCAATTTTACACAGCAACGAAGCTGTGTAAATGAACGACTGCACGACTTCCTTAACTCCCAACCAGATACTCATTGACTCCCTTGCACGTGTCCGAATTGTGCAGCACCCGTATATGCCCATTTTGTAGGTGAGGATTAAATCCTATAAGCACTGCTGTCATGGTTTGTGGTTCTGACAAGCATCAAATTGAAAGGAGGCCCCTGGACTCACCGTGCCCTTTCTCATTACCGGATAACCCGGTCTGATTCAAAGATCCCAGCAGACATCTCTCGTATGCACAATTGTGCCGTAGTTGAAAATCCCAGCGCGGACCATGTCTTCCTCTACCAGTAACATACCATCGATCACGCCACGCACGATGCGAGGTCATACTGGCTGGGTAAACGGTGTCGTGCACTTACCCGGCGAACGACACATCGTCACATGTTCATCGGACTGGCTCACTCCGACTATGGGACCTAGAGAGTGGCTCACAGGTAGGCGAGGACTGGCGGGTACGGGAAAAACACAGTGTGGTCCATGGCATTGTCTCCAAACGGTAAAACAATTGCAAGCGGAGGCGATGACGAGAAAGTAAAGTTGTGGGACGTCGAGACGAGGAAGGTCACTTCCGAATGGACAGGACACAGCCATGTTGTGCAATCATTGTGCTGGAGTGCAAATGGGAGTCGAGTAGCGAGTGGATCCTGGGATGGGACAGCAAGACTTTGGGATGTCAACAGCGGCAAAACTGTCTTGACAATCGAAACGAGGCACAACTATGTGTATGCGGTGATGTACTCGCCTAACTCATCAAAACTCGCAACGTGTGGAGACGAGGTAAAAATCTGGGATGCAGAGACTGGGCAGGCGTCCTGTAACACTAACCCACTGGACCAGGGGTCCCAAGGACAAGAGCCACACACCAAGAGCCTGCCGGCTCTTTCCTTAGCTTAGTCAGCAGGTAGCATAAGCCTGAGCCTGTTCGTAGTGTACATCATCATCTCCGCTCGTTGAGCCTTGTTCCAAGCTCAGTCCATTGGCCACTGCTCCAATGTGGTGAACAGAGCACATTCGAACCTTGCCAATTTCATTGCATTAGCATTTGCTTCGGCCTGCAGTTGCTCAGTCACACCTGAGTAAAGAAGTTTTTAGCCACCCGAGATAGCATACTCGGCCGCAAGTTAAAAGCGCCAAAAGACAACGTGTTCGCCAACAAGCACACGTCAAACAGCTGGCCCACTCAGTTACTGTCGCATTACGCCCAAAAGGCTAAGCTAGATGGCAGGTGTCCACAAAAGACACCTGCAAAATACAAAAAGGGCTGTATCAAGCTATCATTTTACATGGAGTATCATCAGAAACTGATGAAACGCAGCTTAAGGACTAGAAAATCCGACGGACACGCAACAACAGGAAAAAGATTTAAAGAAGGCAGGCTTGTGGAAAGCACACTCGTCGAACAGCAACCTCTGAAGCATCCTCCCTGCTTGACACACCAGAGGAACGCTCTCGCAGTTCATCTCTCAGTTCTCTCAGCAGTGTCGAAGAACGTAGTATCATTCCCTTCCCAGAACTCGACGTCCCACCCCTAGACTTTGAGCTACTGGAACTCTATACAGAATTATCATTACACCGTCTGAAAATGAAACCGCTCACTCTAACTTCGACAATCCCAGACTACAACCTTGACGAATTCTTCGCACTAGTACAACCCAGAAGCACCATGTTGACAGAAACACCACAAATCTTCCACGGAGACGGACGCAAGTCAGAAAACCTGGCAGACTTCCTAAAGTCATTTAACCGCGCCATGAGACAGCAGTCCGTTACGGTCATCGCCGAGAAAGTAGAAGTGTTCAGCGATTACTTAGGCACAGGATCGGACACTGAAGTATGGTTCAAAGCACTATTACTGAGCCCAAAAACAAGTTGGGCAGCGTTTGTAACCGCGTTCAAAGTCCGTTGGCCACCAATTGTAGTCGCAGAGAAGACTAAAGCAGAGTATGAGAGAGAATTGATTGAGCACCTCATGTCAGATGCAGAGGTAGGAACGAAGACTACCTTGCATGACAGGGAATGCTGGACACATGAAGCTTGGGCAGCCAAAGCGCTGCAGTTAGCCTTGAGAGCAGGAATCGAGGCAGGTGCCTCAATTATCTGGCAGGTTAGAGGGAGACTACCTAGTGTTATCAAAGACCTACTGAAAGCTGATGAATACGCGGATTGGGCCATGTTCATGATGGAGGTCAAAGAGCTCAAAGGCAATAGAGTCTTAGAAAAGAAGGAGCAGCATAGCAAACAAGAGCACGAAGTAAACATGCTATGTGCAGATGTTGCACGATTGCAACAACGCAACCCCACGCAGAACTCACTTGCCGCACTCCAGAACCAGTTCACACGAATGGCCGTCAATTCCACGAAAGCACCCAATGTACCTTCGAGCAACAACACTGTCACGTGCATGCCCACCCTTCAGGCAACTCAACACCCACAGCCCATGTTTACCAGGCAACCAGCATCAGCTCCCCAACCTCTTGTGATCACGGAGGACCTTAAGAACGCAACCCGACAACTTGTCTCATCATCCGTACACCATCCTGATACTCCCGCAGGCCACACAGCATATACGTCACAAATCGCACAGTGGAATGCGAAATGGGGTGAGTATACGAGGGTCACACCAGAGACAGGGTACCCCTTAAAGCCAGGCACAGCAGCAATCGCCTCGAGCGAATGTTTCAACTGCAGGACCCATGGGCACAATGGCAGAAACTGTGTACTGCCAGCAGACCACGCGGAAAGACTCTCACGCAAAGAGGCCGCCTGGAGAGCAATAGTAAGCAAGGTGTTAGGACCATTCAACCGTGCAACAGCTACTCCAATCTCGCTCGTCACTGGCCATATTCTGCAGTACATGTCAGCCTGGATTGAAGAAATACTGGAGCAGGAGGAGGGAAAAGGCAATGGGTTGGCATAGAAAGAGGCACTACACTGACCCGAATCAATGAAAGTAATATAGCCAAAGCACCTGTCCTCGCACTCGAAGAGGCACCGTGCGAGGACTACCACCCACCATTTTGCCCTAGATCTTCCAATGAGCCCGTAGCTACTCCCCCCACAACTGTACTCCAATCCTGCGAATCCATCTCAGTCATTGACTTGTACTCGGCGGGGCATGTGACAACAACTAAGGACCAATTGGACAGCGAAGAGGCGGTACCATTCACCCACTCTATCTCATTAGAAGGACCCCAGGGAGAAACAGTAAGAGTCCGGGGACTGTTCAACGACGGTGCAATGATTAGTGCAATGTGCACGTCGATCTATAACAAAATTAAACACCGTTTAGATAACTGGAGCCAATCAACTCGGAAACTGAGGATGGCAAATGGAAACATAGTCAACTCACTAGCAAAGTGGAACGGTATCATCAGCATCAATGGAGTAAAGACGCGAGGAGACTTCGAAGTCTTTGATAGTGGAGGTGGATGGGGATTCCTTCTGGGGAAACCAATGCTACAAGCATTCGAAGCAGTCCATGACTACAAGACAGACACCATCAGCATATCAGATGAAAAACGCTCAACCACGATTGAGAATCAAATAGCATACCCAATCGCACTACACCAAACAGACAGTAGTGTTAACCTAACGGTGGACATCAAACAGCGGGAAACACTATGGGGGGGCACAGAGACACCCCCCTCGAGAAGAATGAGACCATCAGCAATTATCATGGGCCAATGGACGCCTACCTTTCAATTCAAGTCCACCAAAGCTGGAGAACGAGACCGGAACAAGGAGGAAGAAGAAGTTATAAAACACGAGAAAATAGTGGGGAGTGTTAAGCTCCCCTTGAGGGAAGTCCAACCACACTCACTCGAGTCCCAGCAACATAGCATTGACCGATCTAATCACGCAGTCCACATAACCGATATTAATGTCATCGGAGAGGACACAGACACTCCACTATTAGGGGACTTACCAGAGCCAGCACCACCATCAGTACACCCTTCCATCTATACACGACAGACGAACCTGTTCAACCCTGCGAGAGTAAAGGAAATTAAACGCCAAGTCACATTAGGAACAGACCTCACCGTGGAAGAGCTGGAGGAGTTGAATGAATTTGTAGCATAGAACGTGGACGTCTTCGCACTCGCCTTGAAGGAAGTACTACCAATACCGGGCTCGACACTAAACCTCAACGTACCAGAGAACATAACCTTCAACACACGGATCCACCAGAGACCATTGACACCAGAACAGTCACACTTCTACAACGAGCGTATAGACGATATGCTGAATGCCAACCTCATTGAATGAGCCCCCCCAGAGTTAATCAAATGTGCGGCCACAACGGTCATAGCTCAGAAGGCACATGAAGCAGGAGGACTCCCCTGGAACGAGCTAATGCAGAGAGTCAACGATCAATACAGAACAGCGGGGCTTAACCCAGCATTTGAACTTCCGGAAAGAGAAACCACTCAACCCCCAGCCCAAAAAGACGAACAACGCCCTAGGAAGTGGAGAATCTGTCAAAACTTTGCCCAGTTAAACAAAGTTACCGAGGTTGTACCAATGCCCCAAGGAGATATCTTAGCCAAACAACAACGACTAAGTGGACACCACTATATCTCTACCTTCGACTTCGCAGCAGGTTTCTACGCAATTCAAGTCCCAGAGAAATGGCATCCGTACTTGGCATTCTACGTTGAAGGCAGAGGGTACTTTTGGTACAAGTGTATGCCAATGGGGATCACAGGAGCACCAATGACGTCTTGCGACACACTCGCACAAAGGCTCCATGATCTCCTAGTAACATATTACATGGAGCTGTTCATGGATGATGGAGGCTGCGAGGAAGGACTCTTAAGGGACCTCCTACTCAAGGTACCAATCGAAGGTACTGCATCCAAGGCAGCCTACAGACGAGCAATGAGTAACTTCAAATTGAGCCTGCACTGGACGTTAGAACACACCAAAGCGTTCCTGGACTTAAAGGCGGCAATCACGTCTAGACTGGTGCTACAAGCACCTCGTTATGACGGGTCCCACTTCATTATAACCTCGGACGGATGTATCAATGGATTCGCAGCAGTACTGTCACAAAGGATTCACACATTAATGCCAGCAGGCAAATGGGTAGAATATGCTCACCCAATAGGCTTCGCATCCAAGCGAACATTGAAGACAGAACGCGAATATGGGTCTTTCCTGCTAGAATTTGCGGCGCTGAAATTTGGCCTCAACAAATTTTCAGGAATCATTTGGGGCTTTCCAATTGAAGTAGAAACAGACTGCAGTGCATTGCGGGACACACTACTCAAGGCAAATTTGAACTCAGTATACGCGAGATGGCGAGAAGGCATACTATCATATAACATAGTCGATGTTTGACATGTACCAGGGCGACTCAACGTTGTTGTGGATGGACTCAGCAGGATGGGGGAAGGTCAACCTAATAAACCAGGGGACGGAAGCGAATGGACGGTAAGCGAGGATTGGGAGGCACGAACAGGCATGGTAAACGACATACTATATGTACATATCACCAATGGATCCGAAGGCCACTACTCTCCAAGAACGCTTCAAGGACGAACTGGTATTCAGGGAGGTCATAGAAGCCATCTATGACGAGCCCCTTCAGTGACAAATCCCGTATTATACGGGTCACCCGACCTACATAATATCCCGTGTAATATGGGCCAGCGGATTATGGGCCGATGTTATGTATATTCCCGATGTTGACGGGTGGGCCGGGAGGCATATTATTTCCGACGGAGACGGGTGGGCCCATCTATGCTGATGTTATATATATCATCGACGATAGCGGATGGGCCGGGAGAAATATTATTATGGAGATGGGTGGGCCCATGTGGGTAATATGTAGAGTAGGATTGACATATATTATAGACCTGAGGAGAGATGTATAGCAAATAGTATTATACAGACGTGTGGGCCGACGTATTAGTATTATTTTGTAGACGGATGGGCCGAGGGAGCGGTGAAATATTTATTAGATAGATGGGTGGGCCGACGTGGGGTAATATCAGATAGACGGGTGGGCCGAGGGTGAGTGGAATTATTTATTACATAGACGGGTGGGCCGACGTGGGGTCATATTAGATAGATGGGTGGGCCGACGTGGGGAATTCTACATAGATGGGTGGGCCGACGTCGGGTAATATTAGATAGACGGGTGGGCCGAGGGTGAGCGGAATTATTTATTACATAGACGGGTGGGGCCGATGTGGGGTCATATTAGATAGACAGGTGGGCCGACGTGGGGAATTCTACATAGATGGGTGGGCCGACGTCGGGTAATATTAGATAGACGGGTGGGCCAAGGGTGAGGTGAATTATGTATTAGATAGACGGGTGGGCCCAGATACATATCATATAGACAGATAGGCCTAGGTATTGTACATTTTTACGAGTTTCGAGTCTCGAGTTAAGAAAATTCAAATTTAAGATGATATACATTTTTGTTGTCTTGAAATACTGAGACCCGAGACCCGAGATTTGGCACTCAGTAGTCGGTGAAATGAGTACAGAAATACATAAGATAATACACATTGTTCTCAGAAATCACAAGTTTCAAATGTCGATTTGTAAATCACGAGTCACAAGTCTCGAGACTTGAATCACTGAGTACCGAGTACTGAGAACCGAGTACTGACACCCGACACCTGGAATTTGGCACTTGGCATGCGAGACGAAAGATTGGAAACAAAACTCAAATTCGAAACTCGAAAGGTACTGACTACCGAATACCAAGTACCGAGTACTGAATCTCGGGTCTCGGTACTCGGTATTCGGTACTCGACACGATGCTCAAAACTCGTAAAACTGTTTCGAATCACCGAGTACTGACTACCAAGTACCGAGTACCGAATCTCGGGTCTCGGTACTCGGTATTCGGTACTCGACACGATGCTTGAAAACTCGTAAAACTGTTTCGAATCACCGAGTACTGACTACCGAGTACCGAGTACCGAATCTCGGGTCTCGGCACTTGGTAGTCAGTACTCGGTGATTCGAAACAGTTTTACGAGTTTCAAGCATCGTGTCGAGTACCGAATACCGAGTACCGAGACCCGAGATTCGGTACTCGGTACTTGGTAGTCAGTACTCGGTGATTCGAAACAGTTTTACGAGTTTTGAGCATCGTGTCGAGTACCGAATACCGAGTACCGAGACCCGAGATTCAGTACTCGGTACTCGGTAGTCAGTACTCAGTGATTTGAAACAGTTTTATGAGTTTCGAGCATTGTGTTGAGTACCGAGTCCCGAGTACCGAATCTCAGGTCTCGGCACTCGGTAGTCAGCACTCAGTGATTTGAAACAGTTTTACGAGTTTTGAGCATCGTGTCGAGTACCGAATACCGAGTACCGAGACCCGAGATTCAAGTGCTTTCGAGTTTCAAGTTTCAAGTTTCAAATCTGTCGTCTCAAGTCCCGAGTGCCAAATTCCAGGTCTCGGGACTCGGAACTCAGTGACTCAATCAATGGACTGGCAGGGGTTACATTCATTGAAAACTTGTATATACATCTATCACTATGCAATTATGTAGCCATGTCAACCTCCACAGAAGACTCTTCAACCTTCACCTCCACCTCAACATCCATGTTGCTGGAAGAGTCATATTCTGGGACAAGGTTGCTTGGATCACCTGGGTCCACAATTTCGCCGGATGCATCTGGATCCTCTGGATGAACAACTTGGTTGTAGTCGAACAGGAGACCCTTGATGGCAGA